CCTAAATATTTATAAGTTTAATTTCGAAGTAAGTAACAGAAAGGAATATCGATGTGTAAAATTTATGATAATGATAAAAATTTTAAAAAGCATATCGTTCTAAACGTTATTTTGCACATTTTGATATTTCATACGGAAGTATCCCCTGCGATGCTCTCGACTCATTGGTAAAACGTCATTTCCACCGGTATAAGGTACGTTTCTGTGTTGATTAATTTGTAATAGCGTAATAGGAACAGGTATACATCCCATCAAACAATTCACATACCGCATTATGGAGACTGGTAACGGTGTGTTTATAAATATCTCTTTCCGCTCCATGTCAACCCCTCTAACGATACCTGCGTTTGAAACCAATTGTACGTGTAAATTTCAAATTATCGGTCGGTAAAAAAGGGAAGAAAAATTGTATATTGCACCGAAATGCTTACCGAATCCGTAACAGGCGCAAAGAGGCGATCTGTTTAATACATGTGGGCCAGATCCAGCCTCTTGCCATTCGTTGTTGTTCATATCGATTCCGCACAATGCTACTATATTGCCATTCACTATGTTTAACACGTGCGACGAAGACGTAGATGGCCGCGGAATTGCAATGAACAACGATGCAAAAGATGTTCTGCAAGTAAGAAGATTTCCCTATATTAGAATGATTTAGAAGACGATCTCTTCCATGTATACGAGGAGAAAATACTAACACGTATGGCACAACTTTGTTGATGCTCAACGATAAAGCGTCGTAACGTGTTCTAAAGAAAATAATACAATATTGTTATTATTATTAAAATGTGCTTTCTACAATATTGTTACATGATAATCAATATCAATCAATATCGTATAACCTCAATATCAATATTAAATTTCATTTTTCACAAATCTTACGTAAAATTCGAAGAGTTTTGTACAATTTCACTGAGATAAGATATCATAACGAGTTCTCGTTGCTGATACGGTTCCATGTTCCACGTTTCGTATCCTGGGCCAGGTTTACGTTCCGCGTGCGAACGTACCACGAATAACTCGTGATCGCACGGTTGATTCCAAGCGACAACGTTCGTGCTCCATGTCGTCCATGATAATTCCTACAAAGAATAGACTTTTCCGTCTTTGCGAAATTATTCGAATATACAAATCGTTAAGATAGATATCGAATACCTGTCGATTTACTACTTGCTTGCTCAAGTATCCGATATAATTGTTCTTTGGCTTTTCGGACATAATTTGTATCACGAAGGAAGGTCGGATCAATTTAATTGTAAACATGATGATATCCCAACCAATGCCTTGCGAGAAACCCATCGTGTTTATCACGATTGGTAGACGCGACAAGTTTGGACAATTTAACAATTTATCGAATAACATTTTGACAGCCTCGATGTATCGTGTGATGCAACGTGACACGTTCACATCGCCGATATACAATTGGAAAACTGGACTCGTTAAATGCGTAAAATTTGGTCCCATTAAAGGTTGCTCGATTAAACTGTACGATATACATCCGGCTGGTGTACATTCCGTTTGGCCTGGATCAACGTCCATAAGAATCACCATTTTTGAGGCGGGTAATAGGCTGTTTATCAAATAACGCGTCGTAGTAGATTTACCGACACCTTTCCCGCCGGCAATTAAAGTGCACGACCATTCGTTCGAACGCCAACAATTCAACATTTTCTCGCTAACTTCTTGCGCGATACGCGGATCGATAATTAATTCCTTACACGTGGAATTATCGATATAAAGATTCGATTGCAATATCGTTTCGGCTCTTTTTGGATCGGCCCAAGAGTAATGTTGTGTGTTCTTTATTTTTGGAAACAGCCTAAATGGATAGAAAACGTGTAAAAATCTAGTCAATTTGTTATCCAAGTTGGATAACAAAAGAACAGCCATGCCAGGTTGAATTTGCTCGATCTCGTCGACCAATTTGTTCTTTTGATTTCGATCGATACCTTCGGTGGATAGAGACGTCCATATATCCGATTCGACATTTTCCACGGATTTTTCGGTTACTTCGATCGATACGTTACTGTATCCTCTTGGTGAATAGATATCGATCGGATCGTCCTTCGTGGTAATAAAAAATCCGTAAACTTCTATCGCTCCATATATTACTTTTACAACCAATTTTCCGGTAAAACAAAATCGTGCCCTTCTCGACATCACTGCGACTACTTTATTCTTAACGCAATAAAACCGTATTGGTTGTTGTCCAACAGACGGAATATCATTTTTATTCAATGTTCTCGCTTCGAACGTATCGTTCCTTCCACTTATATCATCGAAACTATTATTTTCTTCGCACCTATCGAATGATTTTTCAGTCTCTTCGGTGGAAACTATTAATTGTTTTTCTGGACTAGTCATTTCTGGACTAGCCTTTTCCGGACTAACAGAAATATTTGAATTACTATTTCGCGATTTTTTCTTATCTACACGTGGTTTACGATTATTCTTGGATAATGACATAATTTTAATATCGTTTCCTCGATTGTATAAATTATCATTTGGATTTAATGATTCGGCAACAACTACACAAGCTTCATCCTTTTTGAAATCGTTCACCATACATGATGGATTATTATCAAAAATATCATCTCCCATTATCAATTGTTCGCTCTCTTTAAATACTTCAGGTATGCTTAACGAAGATAAATTTTCTGACAGTGTTTCAACTATTACAGGTAAACCTATATTTCTTTGTTCTAAAATGTCGCGATACCGTTTGTCACTTCTGTCCCTGGCTTCAGAAGAGTCATCGCACGACTCTAAGGAAAGATCCATAGAATCTGAAATGTAAGCAATCCCTTTCCATAATGGTGTTCTTTACTTGAATAAAGGTATTATACCATATTTTATCTTCAACCTGCAAATATCGTGCGGTGTTTACACCGATGTACAAACACAAGTCACGCGATTTCAAATAGTTCAATAATTAAAGAATGCATAAATTTCTTACGTTGTGTTCCTTTCATATTAGCATATTTTTTCTTTCTTCGTTTCAAATTACGTTGCAAAACTAATTGTTTATTACTTAATGAACTTTCCACTAACGAACTGTTCTGATAATTTTTATTTCTTTTGAAAGAAGGATTCATATTCGAATAGGATACTCTTTCTCCTTGGATTAACTTGTTTTGCACTTTATATTGCGGCAATTTTCTAAATTAAAAAATTACAATTTTTTTCGTCAAAACAATATTGCGTTGTGATGCAATCTAATCAACATTTTAATTACATCAGATAAAATTATTAAGAAGCATTCTAATAGTTCGATATTTACTTACGCTTTGGTTTTCCTTGTAACTTGTGAATTTTTGAATTGTGATATTCTTAACTTTTTCGCTTGTGTTACTTTCATTTTTACGTTCTATAAAATTCGGATGTATATAAAGAAAAAAGTTTAGATCTTTATAGGACGCATTTCCGAAAACTAACCTTATATCTCTTATAAACTAATATTACGGTTCGTTTTTAAAGGAAGACTCCGTTTATAAATGTTCGTGCATAAGCATCTATATGTATCTGTAAAATAAATACCAAACACTAGCTTCTAGTTTAAGGTTGATTTTTCATTGAATCTCTATAGGAAAAAAATGAAAACGCTTCTTTAATAGTACGTTTAAAAAAGGATGACGGAGCGGCACCTCAGCGACGCATCACGGCTACTATAGTTACCATCCAATGTTAACGATACGAAGTCGCGGCAGTATTTAGCATTAATATTCACATAAAATGGAGTTACCAGTTACGTATTGTTTATGCGGTCGTTCTTACGATTTCGAACAATTTATGATACAATGTGACGTTTGTAAAGAATGGTATCATGGAGGGTAAGCGTCCAGAAATTGTGACAATTAAAAACAACGATCTAAATACTGTGACAAGATTATGTTTTGTAAAATTAAATATAAACACACGTAAACATAGATTTTGGTTTCTATTCTGCAAAAAATTTTCAAGTAATTTAATTATTTTTTTCTTAATTCTCTTTCCCCTTAACTTTTTGTATGAAAATAATAATTACGACATAGCTTTACAGAGACAAGTTTTGTTGATACTTACATAACCTATCCGAACGATGCGATATCTTTCGATACAAAAGTAAAAATATATATAAAAATTGTAATCTTTTTATATATATTTTATATTATATAAGAAAAATTTTACCAATATCGTTTAAAAGTAATTTATATATTTTTTGATTTATAGATGTGTATCCATAAAGGAATATATGTCGATAGATCTTGACAAATATCATTGTCCGCGTTGTGAAGCAATGTGCGGACCATCGATTAGTGAGTATATAGAAATTATATTTTTTTTTTTGTTGTTTTCATTGTATTCTTTGATAAGTAATAAATTTCCTATCATTTTAACAATGATTGTACTTTAGTGAAAGTAAGATTAAATTGGCATAGACACGATTATTCTGAACCTGATGCGGATACAAAACCAGTACAAACTGGCACACCAGTTTTTATAAGAGAATTAAAATCCAGACATTTTCCAAAAGCTGATGAAGTTGTTAAGCATGTTAGAGGACAGCAATTGACTCTTCAACATTTGCAAACTAATGGCTTTGAGAGTCCCATTATAATAGACGGAAAAGATGGACTTGACATGACCGTTCCACCTCCAAACTTCAGTGTTTACGATATAGAAAGTTGTATAGGTATTGATTCTTTGTGATATTAGTATTAATATTATATTATTATTTTCACATAATAAAAATATTGCATCGAATGAAATTTTTTTTCTTCTCAGGTGGAGATCGAGACATGGATGTGATCGATGTTACAAGACAAAATAATATCAGAATGAAATTAAGAGACTTTGTTGAATATTACAATTCCCCTTGCCGAACAAGGGTTCTTAATGTGATTAGTCTTGAATTTACAAACACTGGGTATACCAATATTAATTGCCTTGCCACATATTGGCTTTAAATGTTTCTAAGAAGTATATGTATATAAATATAATATATAAATTGACAAATAAACGTTGCAGTCTTTCTCCAATGGTCGAGGCACCATACATCGCGCGTAAACTCGACTGGGTTAATTCCGTTTGGCCACGCGATTGGCCCGAGGATAGTGACATAAAACGTCCGGAAGTACAAAAATATTGCCTAATGGGGGTCAAAGACAGTTTCACAGATTTCCATATCGATTTTGGTGGCACATCTGTGTGGTATCACGTGCTACGTGGAGAAAAAGTGTTTTATTTAATCAGGCCTACTCCCGCAAATTTACAATTATATCAACATTGGATGTGTAGCTCAACGCAGAGCGAAACTTTTTTTGGAGACCAAGCTGATGCGTGTTACAAATGCGTTTTAAAACAAGGTCAAACCATGATGATTCCAACAGGATGGATACACGCAGTGTTAACACCTATCGATTCTTTAGTTTTTGGTGGAAACTTTGTACATAGTCTTAACATTCCAACGCAAATACAGTAAGTATTATATATGCAAATGCAATTAATAATGACCATTTTAATCATCATAACATAATTCTATAGAATATATGAATTAGAAAAAAAGATGAAGACTCCTGCCAAATTTCAATATCCTGGTTTTGAGACAATCAATTGGTTTGCAGCAAAAAAGTTACTGAAAGAATTGAAAGAATTAAATAACGAGGGAAAGAAATGTCCCACATATCTCTTACAGGGTGTTAAAGCATTACTCAGCATTCTGAAACAATGGAACACAGATAAAGATGTATGTTTATTTTCTTTCTGGAAAAATCATTCTATGATAGATATTTTATTTAGATAGATATCAGAATGTATTTAATTTCTATTTCAGTATAATATGATTAGCAGGGGTCAAATACCGGAAACAATAAATAGTCAAAAATTACTAAAAGATTTTAGTAAAGAAATACGACATGCGGAACGATACTTAATGTCGTTAAATCCTCCAAAACCAGAGCGAGAGAGTAAACGCAAGAAAAAAAAACCATTAAACAAAGATTTCGTAGATTATGATGTTGCCGATAAAATGGCTGATAATCCCTTCAAAGCAACATTAAAAGAGACGAACAAAACGAGTTCTACGATCTCGGAATCACCCTCATCGGGTAGACCACCGTTAAAATTAACTCTACCGAAACCTATAATGTATCCATATGTCAAAACTCAAAATGCAACGTTGGAGGAAAAAAATACGTCTTCCATTAGTAATAAACGATCGTCAAAACAAGGAAAACAGAGTCCAACTGTAATTAGATTTAAACTTGGCAATAACGAAGTCGTACGTAGTACACACGATGACATAAATACGTATAATGAGTTTACCTCTGATCATCATCTTGGAACACCGAAAGAATTAACTTGGAAGCAAACTTCCATATACGATTTTCATGATGGTAGCAATGAAAGTGATTATGGTCGATTCACTATCGATGAATCACCGAAACGAAAAAGGGCACCCAGAATTAATACGCAAAAACGGTTAAAACGCGACTATGATGGAGATGTTGATGTCTTAAATGATGTACCAAAAAACGGTATTGAAGAATTATTGAAAGCCTCGGCTTATACTTTGGGAAATGGTGCTCAAAGATTAGATGTAACGTAAGTTAACATGATTAATTATTCAATAAATTGTAATAATTTCATCCCTTATAATATTCCTTGATTATAGGACAACGATGATATCACAGTACAATCAACCTATACCACCACCTACTGGGTAAGATGATATTAAACGTTGACATCTTTGAAAAATTTATTTGATAAAGCATGTTTAATATCTCTTTATTATTAATTTGCCTGTCAATTCGTTCTCCTCTTTTTTTTAATATTAATAAACATATTAAGAAACATATAATTTATATATGATTTGGGCATGCACGTATTTTTATTATACTTTTCAATAGTATAGTATTGTTACGTTTTATGTTTTTGGTGTCTTAGTATTTATAAATTGAAAACAACCAGTTCTGGTAGGGCATCTCCATCTACTCGAGAAGCAATCGCTGGGATGTTGTCCTTCAGCGAACAATGCTATTCAACTACATCGAACAGTACATCGAAATCTACAAAAATCACTAAAGTGCAACCTGATGAAGACGACGATCAATCGATAGAAAATATCGATAAAGTTCACCAGGACGATGATTTTAGTATGTAAAACCATAAAAATATTATTTTTTTTATTTGAATGAAATTACATTTAATAATAATTATCATATATTTTTCGATGTAGTTTACCCGTCCCTTGACGCTTCGGATGACGAAGATTCTCTCTTTAAACCAAAAGCGAAAAGTCAAATAGACGAAGCATGGAATCCAAAAGCCAGAGTGGGACCTCTCCTGCCAAAGACGAATCGTCCGGCTCGAGAGGGTGTCAAGAAAACATCTGTTGAAAAAGGACTCGAAGCAGCAGCAGCAAAACGCGCGAAACAATCGGTATATACAAATTTCTTTTTTGTTTTTTCATTTTCTTTTTATTATTATTATTGTTATTGTTATTATTGTTGTTGTCGGTGTTTTTATTCTTTTCGTTGTTTTTGATTATCATTATCATCATCATCATCATCATCATCATCATCATAATATTGATTATTATATTAATTGACAATTAAATTTATTCTTAACTTATTTATACTTATTACACTCATATCATATAATATAGATTTGTTTTTATAACACAAATTAACTCATTTATTACACTATATATTCTATATTTACATTCATATGCATTTTCATAATTATTTCTTTCTTGCATACTCATATCGTATAGGACGATTATCTGGATAACAACATGGATAAGGGCTCCAAGAAGAAATTGGTAGGCATATTACGGTTTCACTATTCGTTTCATAACGTATGTTGCATGTATATTTATGATTGTATTTTGATAACCATTCGATTCATATTTGTGTTTCGTCGTATATAAAATTATAAAAATAAATAAATTTTTGTTTACATTTTAATTTCTAACTTCTTGGTACACAATTATTTATAAATTAGTATTAATTTTATTAACAATAAATTTCTTACGATTGTCATATCTTTCTTTATTTTATTGAACAATAATTAAAATAAAATTAATTTATTGCATATAAAATAATAGAGCACAACCAAGCGGACATATAATAAAAAGAAGCAAAAAAATCCATCCGTAACATCGACAACTGGTACATCAACTACAACTTCAGAAAATACTGTAAAAACAAGCATCGGATTCGGTTCAATATTAACTAGCCCCAATAGGCTTAAAGATGTAAAAGCAAAACTAGCAGCCCCGGTTCCAGTTGGTAATATATAATTCTGAGTTTATTTTTTCTTTCTTTGCATATTTTTCATATTATCGAAATTGTTTATAATCAATTTTCAAAATATTAATCTACATTTTCAGAACGAAAACCAAAGAAAGGGATGAAAACGGCTAAACAACGCTTAGGAAAAATTTTGAAACTTCACAAAATGATGCATTAGATAGAACAACTAGTAAAAAAAATCAAAAACGCAATGAGCTATACATACATCACATCACTCTCTCCATTTGTGTACAAAAAAAATGTAATAGGTGTACATTGCTATGTAAATATGTTGAAATCATTAAGGTAGTATATCTAATATTTGTCTTAAGAATCTAGTTTTTAAAATTGCGATCGTTTTTTTAACGAAATATTTATATTTATTATCGTACTATTTGATTTTAAGACGTCGTATATTATAATATATACTGTATGTTTTGATACTTGACTACTTCGGCAAGAAATTATGTTATAGTGAACGCTTGCAGAAGCTCCTTCTATATGTACGATGATTTTATTTTAAAACTATATTCGTTAACAATTCAAAAAAGAATAAGATTATCGATCCATACGAGTGTAAAGAGGCTGTAGCATATTATATCTTTTTCAATTAACTATTTAATAACTGTAACAAATTTTATACAGCATAATAGCTGCATGATAACAAAAAAGATGGGATAATATTTTGTATAAATTTATTTAAAATTTTCATTTTGATCATGTGCTTTTCGTTACTTTTACATCTTGTACTTATCACTATTTTCAGTTGATACCAAATTATATTCATTTTGATATATACGATAATATTTAATAACTTATTCAAATAACTAAATTTTATACATCTAAAGAAAAGTTTAACGTATTTTATAGTGTGATTTATTATCATTTCGATAAAACGTGTAATCCTTTTGTATATCTCTTAATACATGATATACAATCTCTAATCAATGATATACATATGTCAAGAAATACAAACATTGCGCGTGCGCACGCATGCATATGGTATGCATGTATTGTTGCTGTTTAATTGCTCTGTTTATTATCGCTTTCATTGGCAAATATCAATGATACAATTTTTCACTTAATCGTTGATTTATATAATTGTTAATTGTAAGATACCATTAATTAAATTATATAGTTTTCATACTTACATTCATGCAGTATGTATTCGTTGTAACTTTTATATATAGTTGCGATGTATGAGTTGAACTGTTAAAAGATACTTCATATTTCCCGCTGAATTTAGAATGCAAAGGAATGTGAGCGCATGCGTGCGATTGTCTATACTTGGCAGTATTCAATGGTACCTCGATTAGTGTTGATCGTTTTGTAAAATTTCATGTTGATCTGACAGGTTCTCGCGAGAACGTTTATTGACCGTCCATTCGCTGTGTCGTTATTAATAATATGTACAAGTGTATATACATTTTAACAATTTCACCGTGTTCAACATCTGTGTTCGAATCAGTATCAAATTCTTGTGTCTTTTTCTACAAAAAATATTTCAGAATTTATGGCGTTTTCGATAGTGTATGAATCGTGAAGCGATCGTGGAACAGTGAATTAATAGTAAAAAATAAATTGTGATATACAATAATACCGCTTAGGACTTAAACTGCTTTCTTTCGACCGCGTGGAACATTCAAGACATTATCGTGTATTTCACACGTTCACAAGGTAAGTAAAATGTATGTATTTTTAAATGGTCAAATTAAGAAAATATATATTTTGTACTGCTATGTGTAGAAAATTTAATACGAGTAATACTTTTACTACGATAATA